TTTCTGGGCTGCAAGCGCACATTGCCGGCTCGTGGTGAGCTTCTCATCCACCAGTACCCCCAAGTCCTTCTCCTCAGGGCTGCTCTCGAGCCACCCCCCGCCCAGCCTGTGCTTGTGTTTGGGATTGCCCCGACCCACGTGCAGGACCTTGCACTTGGCCTTGTTGAACTTCATGTGGTTTTCCTTCTCTCTGCTAGCAAATCAGCACATTTCTGAGGTTAGCAGAAATCCGCTTGGACTTCGCTCGCCACCAGAGGCTTCCTACCTTCTCAAGCGTCTGCACAAACTGGTCCACGGGAATGGAGCCGCTCAGCAATGGCTTCAAAGGTTTGCACTCCGGCACGTCATCACTCACTCGCTTTCTCTTCTTGCTGGCCTGAGGCTGCGGAGGTTTTGGAGGGAGCTAACGGGTGAGAAGGCGCACATAACGCAGTGAATCACATCAGCTTATCATAATTTGGAATAACAAGCACACGAGATAGAACAGGAATACTGATTTTGTTTTCTTTCACTAAAGGGAAACATCGCAGTGCTGAAGGGGAGAGGAGAAACCCGGCCTCGGGCTCCACCGCAGCTCTGCACACGCAAGCCACCGTTTATTGAAATAAATTAGCAGTTCTAGTTCAAATCTCCGTCATCTTGAAGTTTCTGTCAAATTCAGTTCTGTTCAAATTTCTGTCATCTTAAAAGGCCTGTCTGACTCAACTCAAGACGGAAGCTTTCTATTTTAGTATTCAAGTACTCCACAATATTTTCTGGGAATCATGCCTTAAAGAAGTCAGTGCCTTGAAAATCACACTCTGAAAGATGCAACAGGTTGAGAAACGGGCAAATTCAGAGCAAGTAACTACGCAGGGAATGAGAAAAATGGGTAATTTAATTCTCGTTGACCTCAGAAAAGGAACTGTTTGGGAAGAACTACAGACAGGGAGGCGTGAGAGATGCTGCAGTGCCTGAAATCCCACTGGAGTGCGATTTGGGTATAATTTGGTGCTGCTTCAGAGAGCTACCTGCCCTCACGCCTCCCCGAGCCCCTTCTCCGTGAGCAGGGAGCGGGACGCGGGGTCAGCACGCGTGGCGGTAGCTAACCTAGCACCGGTTAACTGCGCGTGCGGGCAGGGTGGGGGGTTAACCGAGCACTTCTGAAAGACCCGTTTCATTTCACGGAGATGAAAACCAGATTCCTACACAAAGAACAGCAAAGCCAGTCCGTGTGTCCTGTGCCAAGTTAGTTAGGCCGGGGAAGCGTCAGCGCTCGTCTTTCCCAGTGAGCTAGCAACTCAGTCCCTGGGAAAAAGGAGCTGGGGAACATTTCTCCAAGATTTTGGCAAGACCATTTGCCAGGGACGCATCTGCGCAAGAGACGGGGGAACTGGCCTGAAGCAACCCCAGCGCCTTGCAGTACTGTGTACAGCCCAGGTGAGCGACTGGGCTCCTCTCCACTCCCTGCCTTTCCCACCAGGCAGCGTCACGTCTGAACCTGCTGCCGTGATTGCCCCGCGCGACTTTCAGCAGCCAGGGAAGGGTGTTTTTCACCCTTGGGAGAGAAACACCACCTGCTCAGGCTCCAGTTCCACAAGCAGGGATGCAACTGAGTCACTCGACAAAACCCACCACCTTCGCTGAAGTTGGTGGGCCCACGTGCATGTCTCATGGTATTTCTGCGTGAGTCACTGACGTGGTGGGTCCCAGGCTCAGCCAGCACTGACAGATACCACTGTGCTGGCTCACCTCCATCCATATGTGAAGGCTCTGGCATTTTAAGCCTAGGTCTAAGTTTATTTGGCAGGAATCAGAGCAGAGAAGGGAGTAAACGAACAACACAAAGAAAGAAGCAGTCTCAGACCAACTGCATTTTAACATTTCGGTTTGTTTACTGTTGCTTAGTGTTTCTAGGGAACTGACTTGGAAAAAGTAAGACAGCCTGTCTGCTGTGCAGCGATATAAATCCTTAACCCATCTTTATGTCCCTGCATTAAGGACCTTACTACACTGGGTCCTCTTCCCAAGAGTGGTGGGCACAGCCCAGCTCGACTGCCCAGTGGGAGAGGCAGCATCGTGCCGAGCGTGGCTTCGCTGCGTTCCCTGCACGCTCGTGCATCGAAGGAGAAAGGCGACCAGGGCACCCACTGCTGAGCAGGTCCACCAGCCATCACCTCCCTCCGCGGAGCACTAATGCCAGGAACTGCAGAGTCAGCCTAAAGGAGGTGGTAGGAAGCTCCTACCTTGAACAGGGACGTTCGTGGGGAACAGGGCAACTTAAGGAAGACAGTCCCTTCACACACCTAATGTTTTAGGTCATCTCCCCCCTCCGACCCTCAGTTCTAAGTCCACAAGAGGCTGGCTGATGCTGATCCTGGTGTACAGGTTATGGAAGACAGCAGTATGATTTGCAGTGTCTCTTCAGGAATAATCTCACTTCCCCTTTTCTCTTAGCCAGGCACATGGCCAACGAGAAAAGGGTAGGGAGATTTATTTGCATCCCACTCTCTAAGTGTAATTGCTCACCCGTACACGCCAGGACAAAGCATCTGACAAGGACTCTGCTCCGGTGGGGAAAGGTCCCAGATGGCAGGAAAACCGGCGTAAAGATATTTTTCTCCCTTTCCCATTATACTGTACCTGTAGCACATGCTTGTTGTCTTTAGTATGCAACATGGCAGAAACTGTTGCTAAGGAAATACCGGGCTTAATCTCCAAGGGCACAAGCGAATCTGCAAGCTAAAGCAAAAGAAGGATTTTGTTCAGCAAGTGATAATCTCAAAATTTGTACGAATCCAGCTGTGATTTAAATTGGCAGCATGGTATTTTTAAACAGAGACTAATGAACTGTAAACACAAGCCCACTGGTACCGTGACAGAGCGCTGCTCTTACCTGCACAGCCCTCGTCCCAGCTCTCACAGCTACTGACTTTCGTATCGTCATCAAAGAGGGCGAGGTTTTCAGTAACCAAGGCGAGTCTCATGAATTATAACAATTAAAGAGCAACCTCATTTAAAAAGACATCAACTACTTTATTAATAATTTTTATTAGTAAAACTCATAGTCTAATTCAGCATTATTTATTATGCTTGTTATGTCCATGGACAATGAAAAATCAAAGCCAGGTTCCTCGCAGTTCCTTAGCGCTGCAGCATTCAGGCTGCAGAACAGCTGGAAGAAAAGGGTTTGTCCTTAAAAACTCAACGGCTCTGTGGACTGGTTTGAAATTTTTCCTGCATAGAAACCCTCCCTCTGCCTTTTCTATAATTCTTCTCTGAAAGAAATAAAATCAAGTCTTGGCTCCAACTCTGAATTCAGTGGCAGCCTCCCAATATCAGCAGCACTGACGGTGCTGGCAGTGACCGTGGAGTGGGCAGCACGGCACCTGCTGAGACCTGCGGAAGTTGGCCCGCCGGGAAGCACCTCTTCCAGCCACGTTTCCAAAGGAACGCTGCCGAAAACAATGCTCATGAACACAGAAAATTATCCCCTTTTTCCCTCCAAGGGAGTTCTAGATGACAACAGACTGGATACCAGGTGCCCTGGAGTCCTGTCCAGGACGGCGCCCAGGACCTAGTCCTGGATAAACAGGTACCTTCACACCACAGCGACCAGCAGCCCAGGCCATTTCCAAGTATTGCTCCCAGACAAGCACGCTCCTGTTAGTCCCTGTGGACCTGAAGGCAAGGATGCCTCAAGTGTGTTCTGTCTCTGCGGGGAAGCCCCGCAGGTGACTCACAAGATGAAAATGGGTACGATTGCTCATGACTTATACCACTGGATGGAAGGACTTTGCAGTTGCGAAGACAAGTAACACCTAAAGGGACAGAATCTACTTGGCTGTTTTTCCCAACAGTTCTACCATCAACCCACCCAGACCATCGCCCCATCTCCTGTAGAAAGAGCCTCTACCAGATGATCTTCATCTGAACTCCATTCCCTTTCATCTTCAAACACGTGGCACCTCCAGTTGGAGCCAGATATTAATTAGAGTTGAACCTCCAAGTAAAGGAGCTCTTTTCAAACTTCAGCCATCTACTGTAGCATTTCCATGGAGCAGAGCTCGGGAGAACCAGCTATCATCATTGCCCTCCCAGCAAGGCAACACCAGCTCTCTCTAGCTTGCCAGATGCTCCCATGCACGCAAAGCAGGAAGAGAAACTGAATGGATTTTGGAAAAGCATGGTATACTCCGATGTTGGAGATAGTGCACCTGAGGTAAAGGATGATTAAATTCCTTACCAAAGATCATGTAGCGAATTTTCAACAGGATCCAAACCAGAAGAGGGACAGAGTAGGACAACTGAACCTTGCCACTTCTCAAGAACCTTCAGGTACCAGTACTTTCCTGCCAAGTACTCTGGTATGTTGTAAATTATGATTACACAGGTGATCACTCTATTACCGCAAAGCTCTAATCCTTGTGAATACAGAAGCAACCAAACTTGACTTCAAAAAGCCCTCACTACTGGCCTCAACCTTTTGCCATCAAAGCACTGAGAAGGCTTTTCTGCTCCCTTCAACGGCAGCAGAGTTCAGCTACTTCTAATAACTTCTTGAAAATCTTACCTACCGCTATCAAAGTTGCAGGAATCTTTGGAGAACACCTCCTTGAAATAAAACAGTCGGACAGATGTTTGTGTTGGAAAAACACAGACATTTTAAGGCTGCATTCAAATCCCCTAAACTTTGCATGTATTCAGACTTGGTGGATCTTAGAAATCAAAATTTCATGGAGCAATTCAGATTGCTCTCTCTCTGGGACTCTCCTCAAGATCTTTAAAGAAGATAATTTGAATACAGCCTTTACAGTTTGTTGATGAAGGCTAAGAGAATGAAAATATAATGATAATCGTTGCTTCAGATTTCCCCTGGGACCAAAAAACAGTCACACTTGCAGCGGTGTGTTATGTTGCGCTTTGCAGTGGTTGAAGGCACTTTCCATTCCCACCACCCTCCAAGGAGGATCGATACAAAATGGGCTCCAATGAAGAATACATGGCAAAATGACATACGCTGTAAAGAAAAGGAACCTTAAAAACCAGAGCTGCTTAGAATCAAAGTCCTCTTCTGCCACTGAAATACTTTGATATTAACATTTACGTGGCTTTTAACCACACAGTTGGTAAACAGCAACACTTTAATTATTAACAGTCAGAAAGACAGTCGGACAGATGTTCATTTTTATTTTCTCTAAGATACTGCTTCATCTCACAGCCCTCTCCATGTTGTCGCCAATCCTTTTATTATAGAAGCTCACTGACCCAAACCAAAAAGGTCATTTAATCACATCCAGCAATTCACCCACCAAGACCAGACAGCACTGCTATATTCCTTTCAACTGACCTCCTGCGCACACAAATCATGGAACTCTTCCAAAATGCTGGATTAAAGACACTCTTTTCGGAGAGATAGCAAATCTTGTCTCCACTCCAAGCAATGGCAACTCCTCCATTTCCTCTCACAAGCTGTTTCAAACTTTAATCCTCCTTGCAGCTAGGAAACTGTGTCTTATTTCAAGGTTGAATTTGTCCAACTTTCAGTTGCTGGATCTTGTTATGCCTTTGTCTGCAAGACTGAAAAGCCCCCCACTATGCAAGAATAAATGCTTCTTCCTTCCAGTCATTATCGCAAGTCTAATGCCACACGCTGGCATCAGGAAAGTCACGAAAGCAGAGACGCACGGCACTGAGAACTAACATCGCATTAATCAGTCCCCTGCCTGTGGACGAGCACTTGGACTGCCTTAAGATAAACTTGTGTGTACGTGTACTGTGTATTTCATTTTTTTAAATCCCTCCTGTTAAGGAAAGTTTAAAACAGAGACCAAACAAAAACCAAAAGTTATTGCCTCTCAGTAGTCTCAAACTGCAAGTATTGATGTGAACCTTGGAACGGCTGAGGGAGAGAAGAGTCAGCTTCCCAGATGAAGTTCTGCTCCCATGATCAGAGCTGTCCGCCTATGCTCTTACAGAATAAAGACATTTTTACCGTACACTGCAGTTGAATCTTTCACGTAGGATTGCATTTTCCACAACAAAATGAGATCTGACACATACTGTGTGAGCCCAAACACCATTGTTAGCCGAACTATGGCTGTTTATAAAGAACAATGTACATGGGCTAGGTTACTCTGGGGTCTCTACCCAGGCCTTCATGGGGGACGACACTCCCTAGGCCTAAGGCTGCATGCTGTCTTCAGCCACCAGCCAAAAACCCTTTTGTGGGCCATGAAGAGGACTGAGGATGGGATCTGAAACTTCTACAGTAAAAAAAAAAAGCGTGGTTCAATAATCAGTGAATAAAATCAGGAAAGGACCAGAATTTTAGCACGCACGGTCTTGGTCCCGTGGAGGATCTTCCCAGGGACAGACACACACAGACATACACCAGCCAGCACTTCAACGTCCAAGTTGCAGCTGTACTGGCAGTGGTCAACATCGGTGATTTCTTGCTAGATTTTTTGGACACTTCTCCAAACTTCTCCCTTTTCCCTCTTCCCCTCCAAGTTTTATAAGTGCAATAGGTCTTGGCTTACACCAGAGACGGTGCAGGAAGGCTGACCCAGCAAGGAGAGGTGAAGTCTGAGTGAGGTGCGCTGGATCTTCACCGTCCAGGACTGGAGCAAAGGGGAATAAGCAGAAGCACAGCAAAGCTTAACAGTAATTAAAATCCCCTTAACATTTAAGATCGGAAATTCACTGATGTGTACACTGGATTACAGCATGTGTATTTACAAAGGGACACAGCTGAGTTTTTACACCAACATTACATGTGTATTTTCCAGATTTGCAAACCGTGCATAAATGTATCTCTCCATTAGAGATAGGAGCCAGAGTTGCAACTCTGGATCAAACCAGAGAAATCAAAGACATGAAACAGAGCTGTGACACCACTGGACAGGACAGACCCATTACGAACCCGACACGTTGCAAGTCTTTAGAAAAAATAAAGTTGTAATATATTCCCTGGGGTAGGGCTCAGTTTTGTTCAGTGCTTGTGCAATACCTAGCACTCAGAAATCCTGCTAAGGGGTCCATTACTCATGCTACTACAATGTAGTAATATAGTACATGGAAGGAAAATTCTTAAAAATTGTCAAAAATGGATCCCATGCAACCAACACAACAGCTTTCTCTGAGAAGACAACTGCTGAAGGAACTGGGGTGGCCACAGTCTGTGCTTCACGGAGCACTAGCAAGGTACCACATGGGAAATAATTACAAACTGTGGATGTCTACAGCAGTCCTGAGGTGAGGAACGTGCTGGTTAAAGCAAAGATACCCTCAGTCAGCTACTGGGTTGTTGCTGCAACTCCTGAAGGATCAGCCTTGAGCCTATTCCCACCCAATTTTTATTAATGACCTCAGTACAGAACAAAGAGAGTGTTCCAAAGGCCACACTGAGGTTTGCAGAGGCACTCTTAATAGAAAGAAAGATCAGACTATCTTGGAGGAAGCAACAGATGACCTCAAGAACTGGAGTGAGCAAACCAAGATGAAATTCAATAGCATGAAATGCAAGGCCAGGGACCGGGCTAACACTGAGAATTTTTGCTGCGAGCTGGCAGCTGCTGGAAATGACAGAGGTGAAGGGTCCAGGTTTATTTTTCCATCCCATGAGAACTGAGAGTCACAAATGTGACCCGGCCATGAAAAAGCTAAATGCAACTCCAGACAATGTCAGGTAATTCTAGCAGAGATGAGCTTTTGCTATTATATCGGGCCCAGCAAGACCTCACCTGAACTACTTGTAAATTGTGGGTAATTTAAGTTCAAGTAAGACATACTGAAGGGTAGATTAGGGCAGGAGAAGCTGTCTTGTAAGAGGAAACTAAATATCTTGGCTTGTTTAGCCTGGCAAAAAGAAAGCCAAAAGGAGAATTTGATTATTCTACATAAACACCACAGGGGAAATACCAACAAATGGGAAAATCTATTTATGCTAAAACATAATGTTAACAATAAGTACATGCAGACCAGC